TATCCTCTTGGTTCCTTGGGCAAATAAAGACTGACGAGCCTCGTTGACATGCTTTAATGGACATGTTCGGCTGTACATGACAACTACAAATCCCTCAAGAATGTCCATCTCCTCTCGAGAAATCGGTTCATCTTTTGGCATCGAGAGAGTGCGCAAGGTCGGAGTGACTTGTTTGAAAACTTTCCATGCATTCCAGGCCGTCTTCTTTCCGATTCCGCTAAAATAAGACACAGTATCACAGCCAGTTAGGGCGTGAAAAAAGGGCAGTGCTTCACATTCTTCAGTAGTAAGATTTCCAGCCATGGAATGGGCGGATAAATACTTCAGGTGTTTGCCTACTCCAAATGCTATCCAGAGTTCATMTGCGTTGAGCTTATGAAAATTTGCAACAGCAAGCACGACTATATCGGTATCTACCGTCCGTATCATAATATTTTTGTACCCCTGAATGGCAGAGTGCTKAGCATGCACTAGTAATCGTGTATCTGCCTCCTCGTGATTACATGGGGCCAGCCTTTCTCTTGTTTCGATTGGTTGAGAAGAAGCAACATTCGCGCAAGTGGTGGTGATAATTTGCACTCCAGGCAAATCTAAGGAAGAAATGYACTCAGCCAGAAAGCTGAAAAGTTCGGACTTGTTCTGGTCAGAACGTAAAAACGACTGCCAGTTTTTGGRCACTAAGGTGTTACTGCACACGCGTCTTCGGATACCTTGCCCTCTAGCCTCGCGAGTATTTCTTTTTAAGCTTGTATCAAGATACCGATCCCACACCAAATCGATCCTTTTAACGTGCTGCGCTTGATTGAAAATATAAGGAGTGAAAACATTTCTTGCATACTCATCGAAGGTTTTACACTTTCCAGGCTTTAACATGTTGACAACGACAGCTGCATCAACGATATTCACATCGACAGACGGCCTTTCAAGCTTGGCATTAACTTCGAGGCATTCAACAAGGTCAGATTTTTGACCTCCTCGAAGTTTTCCATCACTAGACAACGATGGTGGACAGGCACTGTTCTCGTGCCTGAAAAACTCTTGCAAGTTCCCGTCTCTTGGTTGACATGATATGTAAAGTCTTGAAAATASATTACAATCGCTTCTCAGGGCTGAGATTTTGGATTCTGCTTTGCCTTTTTTTTTCTCAGACATTCCAAATAAGCACAGGTTGTTTCTTTTGATGGTTTCTGTAATAGGTGTTGAACATTTATCCAGCCTTTCTTTTACGTAGTCGTCATATTGTTTCTCACCAGTAGTTTTCGCATTCTTGATGTCATTCACGACGCACTCTGGCATGATAACCTTTGTATCCAACACTATCAAATCTTTGCTGTCTTCTGTAAATGGATTTCCCATTTCTCTTATCGCTGCTGTAAGATTYGTAACATCCTTAACAAACGATTTCTGTACGGCAGGCACTTGTTCGTGATGGTTAAAATCATCTTTCTCTTCTATCACAAACGTTCGCTCAAAYTCCTTAACCACTCTGCATATCTCTGGTCCTATACAACGCAATGTAAATCRTGTTAATTGTTCAAATTTAAACAAATATTGCTGACAATAAATCTGCACTAACCTGCGATCATCCAYCTTCGYAGAGCAGCCTCATTCTCCGTCAGACCGACCGCGCCACCGTYCCCTTTCACTGCTGCGTTTTCTTGCTCGTGGTTATGGTCTAAACCAATCATGGAAAAACGCTTCTGGGTTTTCTGAACAACGAACTTCCCTTTAGAGAACTCTTCGTAAATACCTGGGTGTTTGGTCTTCAATGACATCATATCGCGTATATRCACTGGTAGCCATCTTGAGTAATTACACTTATCAAGGGAAAACATCCAAGGGACAATCTTGCCAAGAACCTGGACGTAGAGATCAAAGTTTCCTGTTCGYAGTGATCGGACAAGTTCCAAAGCCAGAAGTTCTAATTCTAAAACTGTTGACSAGAATAAGAACTGTGGGTGTTGATCGCACTGGAYCTTACTCCATTCATTAAACTCCATGGGATTTAAAGGATTACTATCGATGTATGCTTTAAAAGCTTCCTTTTGAAGAAWGTGAAGAGCGCATGCGCTAACTTGGT